CCCCCCCCCATGAATAGCTATTTCCACCCCTCTCTGCCCCTCTCCAAGCGCAGACCTTCCAAGTGCCCCACCCCTCAATTTACAGGCGACTGTCAATCAGGCCCATACCAGCCCCTACCCCCCCTACCCCCGAGATGTACTCACTCGCCAGGGAGGGGGGAAAGGAGGGAGGGAGGGGGGCCCCGAAAGACTCAGGTTATCATACACCCCCCATGAGGTGGGGGGGAGGAGGAAAAGAAGCTGGCAGCCGCAGCGCGCGCGCGCACGAGCGCTCTCCCCTTCTTCCCAGGCCAAGGGCCCCGGGCCGGCAACGGAAAACCCCCCCTCCCTCTCGAGAGCGTGACAGCTCCCCTTTGCACCCCCGCCAGGCGCCGCGGTCCAACCAATCGGAACTCGGCACAAATCCGGATGGGCCAATCGGCGTCGCTGGAGTCATAGAGACGAGGGGAATGGGTGAGGCTAGAGAAGCTGCTGGATTGTAGGAGGAACCAGGGCGGGGAGCCTGCGAGCGGAGAGAAAGAGAGTCAGCCGGAGGTGGCACGGCCGATGAAAGGGGAGGGGACAGAGTTTAAAGGGGCAGCGCCTCTTTTCTTTGCGAAGGGTCTCTTTCGCTAGCTGTGCCTTTCGTTGTTGTTATGTCCCAGGGAGTCGCCTCCGGATTTACTGCGTAACTGTGGATGAACGTCCTGTCCTCAACAGCCCTGCTCAGCTCTTCTAAACTCAAGCCTGTGATTTCCTTTAAGGAGTCAGACCTTCTTGTATTTGGTCTTCCTCTTTTCCTGCTGCCTTCCACTTTTGCCAGCGTTATTGTCTTTCCAGCAAATTTTTCTTTCCCATTATGTGCTCACAGTATGACAATCACAGTTTTGTCATTTTTGCTTCCAGAGGTAGTTCAGGCTTGATTTGTTGTAGGACCCACTTGTTCATCTTTCTGATAGTCACTCTAAGGTATCTCGAGAGGTCTCCTACAGCATTAAATTTCTAGCAAATTAATTCTTTTACTGTCAGCTCTCTTTACTGTCCAGCTCTCATAGTGATAGGGAATACAATAGTGTGGATTATCTTGCTAATGTCTCCAAGATAATGTGGATTATTTTGATAATCTTCATAATGTCTCCAGTGTGACATCCTTACACTTGATGATCCTTCATTGCTGCTCCTCTGAATTTCAGTCTTTTTCTGATATCTTGGCTGCAGTCTCCTTTCGGACTGGTGACTGAACCAAGGTATGCAAAATCTCTATTTCAATTTCTTCACTGTATACATCATGTAATTCTACAGAAGTCAGGATTTTTGTCTTAACATTTAACTGCAGTTGTGCTTTGGCACTTTCCTGGTTGCTGGAGGAGGCAAGGAAGAGCAGGCCGAACTCCTGCCTGGACTGGAGCGCTACCAGAGAAGGAGGACTCTGGCAGCCCACTATGTCTTGTGAGTTGGCCAGCCAGATGGAGGGAAGGTCATCTCCCAAACTGACTACTGCAGTGCCCTCTACATGGGGCTTCCCTTGAGGCTGACCAAGAGACTACAGCATGTTCAGAATGAGATGGCCCTACTGGGGGCTGGTAGGAGCAAGTTTGATCACATATCCCCAGTTCTGGTTTGCCTGCACTGGTTACCTATTGTGTCCCAGTCAGGTTCAAAGTTTTGATGCGCGCATAAAACCCCCTTCACAGTCTGGATCACAGGACTTGTCAGAGTGGCTTTTCCCAAGGTCTTCTACCCACGTCACCTGTTCCTCCCAGGCTGTGCTACTCCTGGTGGTCACTCTAAAGGAGGCCAGGAAATCAACCACAAGAAGCTGGACCTTCTTCACTGTGGCACCCACACTTTGGAATAAGCTCCCTGTGAAGCTGTGCCTTCCTAATGTTTAGAAAGCTTCTGAATACACTGCTTTACAAAGAAGCCTTCCAATGCAACCTTGCCTGATTTGTATGTCTCGTGAGCTGCCTTTTATTTGGAGATCACGCTTCTTGTAGTTTCTGGTTTTTCTCTTACCGGTTTTACTTTTAATCCCTTTGTTTGTTGTGTTTTATTATTATACTGTAAACTGTGTAAAATAGTGCTTTG